CGACGCGCGAAACACTCGCGCCGATAACATCGTTCAGCATTCCATTCTGCTTGTGTCTTCTCGCGTGTACCCGTGGTTTTGTAGATTTATGGGCTCCGTCGAGGTGGCAAGGCATCGCTGCAATGAAGGGATGCAACGATAAGGCAGCCAGCGACTCGCGGTTATCTCGTTCCATTTAATCTCAATTCACCGCAATTCGCGAGCCTATTTCGGTCCGCCTCGCCACGAATCATCGAGACTCTCGCTACGCTCGGATAAACTTCACTCCGTTACCAACGAAAGCCCTAGACATCTCAAGATCACGCGGAGAAGTTGATATTCTTTCTCGCGATGTAAAACGGCGCGAAATGTTGTTTACGATCGGAACTCGCGGAGCTCGAACGCTGAAAATAATCAAAGCTCGACGCGGAGAGGGAATAGATCGTCGAATTAAAATTCCACCGTGTCCTGCCGATTGTCACGATATGCGCGATCGTGTTGCAAACCGGCAATGCATGTTACTTTTTTTGTTCCAACGATTATCGTTTACTCGGTAGCTCCGTGTCGCGAACGCCGTCGAGCAAATGCCTGTGTCAAAGAGGATGGAGGCGAGCTTGATTTCATATCGCGATAACGCGCAGCTGAGCAGCTAATTTGCTACTAATAAAGGCGGTTATTAAGAAACAAAAAACGTCCGGTAATTATTCCCGTTCGAATTGGGTCGCGGCTCGAAACGACGACGAGAATTCTACGGTCATTGCGAGTCACCTCTCCGAACCGGTCTCGCGTAACATTGCATGGTTATTGTAACGCGTATTTTCAATTAGCGACCTACAATTAATTCAGTCGAATACAACCGACGATTAGCTTCTAATTAGATTAAGGATACCGGTTTGCACGCGGGAATTAGTATAAATATTCATCATCTTCGACTCTCTTGTGCTACGCGCTTGTTTACGGTGCGCTATTTGCCACTGGCAGACACTTTTCTTCATGTGCGTCAGCGACATTAATTATCAAACTAAAAAAAAAAAACTGCTACAGTAGGTGTTTAAGACTTTCGAAGTCGAGGGTGCAATCTGACTCAGAAACGTAAACGAAAATTAAGGAAATATAAGGACAGTTTTCTGACGTCTCCTGGAACCTCGATGCCATAGGTGGCCCATTCGAGGGTCCCCGTTTTACGAGCTCCTTCAGTTTTACGACCGTTTTACGGCGTGCAAACGACTGCCACGAGTTACGGGCCCCATAACTGTCAAATCCCGCCACCGTTCGCGGGTGACAATCTTTAGTGGACCAGTCCATCCGCGCGATATCGCGTCGTTTATTTAATCGGCCAGTTTCGTCTGCCTACCGCCTGGACGACTTTGTTATCCCGATTGGCGGCCATTAGTTTATCGCGCCGGGACCTGGAATTTGATCGAGCGTACAAATGTTTCCCCAATCGCGGATCCAACGTTTAAGATAAAGAACAACCGAGAATTCCTCCGTATACGCGTACGCAACGTCGAATAGAAAGTGATCTCTGCTTGTAAAATTCCTGTTTCTTAAGGGAGGTCCAAGAATTTCTAAACTGCTCCGTTTTCCGTCCGCTTGTCTTCGATTCGAACAAGTAGTTTTAATTGCCATTAAACGGGAACCGCTATTATACAGGCTGGGCAGTTCGAGAAACGTTTGTGCAATTGATCGAGAGCAATTGGATCGACGAGTAGACGGAACGAACTCCGCGACAGCCGCTGTTTACGGAAATCGGAGCAACAACGTGCCCCCGGGGCCGCGATAACGGCTACTACGAGGGACAAAGAAATTCCCCGGCGGGAGCCATTTTGTTAACTAGAGGCCATCATAGCTGCCTGACGTCACTTCCATATCCAACTATGGCGTCACGTGACGCTCCACCCTGTTTTCAATCACCTTGGCCCCGAACCCACCCAGCTGTCAGACACGCTCCACCCCGTTTTTTCCAGTTCTTTCTGCTATCGCCGTCGCCATCTGTCGGCTATCACACGAACTCCTTAGACCTTTTAAACGGCTAGCTGGTTTATGCCTCTTCCGGTCGGTGTCACCACCGAACGCCGCCCGATGACCCCGTTTGCCCTCGACCTTGAAGAAACTCTCAACCTCCCGCCGATCGGTCCGCGCGACCCGTCGTTATCGTTTTCCCCGAACGTTTCCCATCGGCAGGAAACGGCTTTCCGTCAGGAGCCAGTTGCCGTGTAATTAAACGCGGGGGGAAAAGGCGGAAAAACGGAACGTTTCGCGGAGGAAAACAATGAAACACGGGACACGTACCCGATAATACCGGGGCGTGACGTTTTCCCATTCCGAGCTGTTTATTACACGGCCGGCGTAACACCGATCGCGTTTATAATCGCGACGGAGTGGTCGGGACGCGGGGTCAACGAGAAAAAAAAAGTTACGAGGGAGGAAGGGTTGCGTCCCAATGGAAACGAGACGCGAGCCCTCTCTATCTCCATCGGTGCAGGAAGGAAGTGAATAAATAAGAAGAAACATACGTTACGTGGAATAGGGCTGTTTCGGGGGAAAGAATACGGTGAAGGCGAGCCCCGTAAAGCGGGAATTGAGTTAAAATCCTGCGAGAGAATTTATACGCGATCCGGGATAGCGGGGAACAAACGGGGGAGGGAGGGGGAGTACGGAGCGCATGGAATCGCTATCGGCGGCCATTCATCAATCCGGGGAATCAATACGCTGGAATTAATGAAAGCGCCGCGCGAACAGCGAGCTAGCGGCCGGAATGTTAATCGCGATCGTCCCGCGTCCGACCCATTCTCGTGTACAGCGAACTCCCAAGGGCCCCACCTCCGCCCGAACCCTTCAACCTGCCGCCCCCCCCCCAACCCTCCCCTGCCTAGCGTTCGATCCCTTGTACATCCGCCCCCGCGACCCTACCCACACTCTCCACCATCACCAACACGACCACCGGGCTGCCCACAATACCGTACGCGCCCGTACATTCTATTCCCTCGTTTCGTAGCCACCTTTTTGCTTTTATCGCTGTCGATAGCCACGGACTTTTGTTCGATCCTCCCTCCCTCTCTCTCTCTCTCTCCCTCACTCGCCATTTTTGAGAAGGACGCCCCGTAATTCGTGACGTTCTCCCTAAAATAACGAGAATATAGCTCGAAATATTATAGAGATTTGGGGAACATCAGGGGTGGTATACCTACAGTGGAACATGATCAAATTATTGTTTTGAAATATTCATAGTCTTGCGCGTGTGTCGAAAATTTGTATACCAAGACGGTTCAAGGAAATTGATCGGACTCGAAAGTTTCGAAAGTTACGGAAAGTTTCGGAGCACTATTCTAAACGACTCGAAAGTTTAGCGGACCAAGCTGATTCGAGTCGGGCTCAGGCCTTCGCTACTTGCTAACAGAGGGAGTGGGGACGGTTTCACGGCCAATTTACCGAATACTATCTCCACCAACTTTCTTCAGTTCCACGGAGTGGTACGAAACAATCGGTACACAGACTCCCGCCTCTTCGCGGAACGCGAGTCAGGCGGCTAACTTTAAACCGACGTTGCTGGACAGACGAGGTACACGAGTAGACCTTACACCATATGGAGTTTCGTCGCCCCATATGACTGCCATACCGACCTGAAAATTCGGAGGTGATTTTAGCGTCCTCTTCTCACGAATGGCGGTCGGATGAGAAACTATTCACTGAGTTAGTATTGCTGGACAGAAAGCTGTGTGTGGGAGGGATTGAAAAAGGCAATCAAGTATTATCGGACCAGTGCCCGAAGGAAACGGCCCCTCCACTCACACATACTAACGCATAGCCACCTTGTATATGAATTCAGACGCTTCGTATAGCTTCGGGGATTCGAGGAAGAAGTATTTGATTCTGATAATCTCCTAGAATAGTGAATATATTCTATAGAAATTTATTTATGGAACAAAACTCATTTAGAAATTTTTGGACGAAATTAAAACATTTCAAATTGTGCTAAAAAAAATATTTTCAGTTGCGGGGGCCAATTATAATCATTTTTTGTGAATACACATACGCCCGAATTTCTACTCACTTTCGAGAAAAAAATTCATTACCGAAAATATGGAATAGAAATGTTTCCCCGTTCCGAAAATATTATTTTTGATTCCGTATACTTCGTCTGTGGTTGCTGCGTGACACACGGTCGGTATGGAAGGGTTCCGGGCGAGGATCGAGAGATCGGTTCTGAAGGTTCGACGAGATGCCGCCCGATAAAGGACCGACGCGTCCTTAATGGAGCTCTTGGATCCACGAACTCCGCGCGAACTTTGAATCATCGAGTATTTTTAAAGCTCTCTCTTACCTCAAAAACTATCCTTAAATCTTTGAATCATTATTATACGTTCTAATATCGATGGTATACGAAAAACTGAGTTGGACTTCGGTCTAAGTAGAAACAGTAAGCGATGGGCAGACACGCTCGAACAATTTTACTCTCAATTTTCGTTTTGTTTCGTCCCCTTCTCGTCTCGACGTTCGACTACCCGGAATTCAAAACGATCGTGCGTTTCTAGTTACGCACTAACGAGACGCGCGAACCCCCCCGGCGGCGGGAGCAACAAAAAAATTAGTAGGTCGCGGGGAATCTCGGCGAAGCGTTCAGTAGCCATGCTGCTTAATGGACGGGAATTTTTCCAAATTTAACGATCGTTTAGCCCGCCCACACAGAAGGCCCCGGGGCAAGTTCGGCGTCTGGGCGATGGCCGTCACCGTGACGAGCACGTGTGTAACTCGCCTTCTGTCACTCAGAGTCAAACTCCGCTCGGTTCGCCCGGTTCGTCGGGCAAAGATCATCGCGCGGAGCTGTCGCTGGTCTCCGCGTCGTGGACTCCGTGTAAAACGTTTCGCGACTACTCGTTCGCTCGAGGTACGGCCAACGGACAAATTCGACACCTTTTTCTTCTGTCCCGTCGTTCCTTCGGCGGAATATCGCGCGTCGCGATCAACGAACGTGCCACGGCAGGAAATTAAAACGCGTCGCCTGTTGTTTGGTGTTGCAGGTGCGGCGCAACTTCGTTAGCAGGGTGGACAGAGGAACGGAACGTGTCTGGTGCGGCTTGGCGCTTTGAACGAAGGTACCACACCGAAGAAGACGAAGAACTCTGATTACCATCTTCCCCCCCTCGTGTACAAGTTTAAACTTCCCCCCCCCCTCTTCCCCCTAAACCCCCTTTATTCCCCCCTATCAAGCCCGCAGCTTGATAACTTACGGTTCTGTAGTGCTCCAGTTTCTGGTTTTTCTTTCTTCGTTGGTGAGCCCCAGTGTGATAGCGGGAGTAAAGGAGAAAGGAATCCGATGATACGCGAGTGATTCGCGACGATGGTGGTGTGATAAAAAAAAAAGAGAAAAAAAAAGAAGGAAAGAGTGTGCCGCGCGTGTCGTCCGAGAGTGCGCGGAGGAGAGTAAACCGAGAGGAATCGCGACCAGGAGGAGGTGATATTGTATGTATAAATAGAATAGGTATACATATATTAATATATATATATGTAAGGACGTGTGACAGTGTGTGTCCGTACGCAGAGAGTACAAAAATAATAGACAGAAAGGAAAAGGAAGTAACGCGGGAGGATTAACCGATCGAGGAGAAAGAGGACGGAGTGTGAGAGTACGCAAAAAGACCGAGGTGGCATTAGCAGGTGGGACAGGTGGGACAGTAGCATGAGTTCGTACTTCGCGAATTCGTACATCCCGGACCTGCGTAATGGCGGGGTGGAACACCCGCATCAGCATCAGCAGCACTACGGTGCCGCCGTCCAGGTGCCCCAGCAAACGCAGTCGGTTCAGCAGCAGTCTCAGCAAGCCGGGGACCCTTGCGACCCTACTCTCCTACGTCAGGGAGTGCCTGGGCACCATTATGGGGCCGCGGGCAGCCAGCAAGATATGCCTTATCCGAGGTTTCCGCCGTACAATCGGATGGATATGCGTAACGCGACCTATTATCAGCATCAGCAGGAGCACGGGAACATCGACGGGATGGGCGGTTACAGGTCGACGTCCCCCAGCCCCGGCATGGGTCACATGGGACACACGCCGACCCCGAACGGACATCCGTCCACTCCTATTGTCTACGCGAGTTGCAAGCTTCAAGCGGCCGCGGTCGATCATCAGGGTAGCGTGCTCGATGGACCGGATAGCCCGCCTCTCGTCGAGTCCCAGATGCACCACCAGATGCACTCCCAGCATCCTCACATGCAGCCGCAGCAACCTCCGCATCAGCAGCAACAGCAGCCCCATCAGCATCTTCAAGCCCAGCAGCAGCACATGATGTACCAGCAGCAACAGCAGACGCAGACGGCGACGCAACAGACCCAACCCGGTATGCATCCCCAGCAACAGCAACCGGCCCCCCAACACCAAGGGGTGGTCGCCTCGCCCCTCAGTCAGCAACAACAGGGTGCTCCTCAAGGCGCGGCAAGCGCCAACCTACCGAGTCCGCTCTATCCCTGGATGAGAAGTCAATTCGGTAAGCAACCCTCTAAAACACCCCTTCTCAACACGTTGACTTGTTACCCTTAATTAGCTCAAGACAGTTCTTGTGCATTACTTTGCAACCCAGAGTGATTAGGAGCTGCTTAACCTGGCGTTTTTAGGACACTCCAGCCTGTGCATTTAGATTAGGATCACTGTGAAATCGTGCAGTTCCCAAATATCCTTTATCTGTTGGACTGTAGCAAAACGCCGATCGGAAATCGCTATCGAGTAAAACTTTTCAAACGCATCGACGCGAGACCGGAATCGCGCTTAACCGGTTCCCGCTTCCCACGGGGAGTAAATTAAATTCAGGAAGAAACTGCGCGGTTTATTAATGCTCGCGCTTGAACGTTATCGACCGTCGAACGAGTTACCGAAAACGACTGTTTACATAAATTAAAAGGAAAAAGAGCTAGAAAGCTGGTCGCGGTAGCGGAGGCCGCGTCGAAACGCGTGCAAGTTATTCCGCGCGCGTTTCTTCGTTCCGCCTCCCGGTGGCGGCCTCCGGAGCCACGCGGAAGACATCAATTTACTTTTAAAAACGAAATCCTTGTATCAGAAAGAGAGGAGGCGGAGGGGGGAAAAATGGGGGAATTATATATTCGCGAGCACGGTAATCGGAACACGTGACGTGGTTCTCGAAAATAGGCTCAAGGCTTCCTCCGGTGCGATCAAAAATGTTTCGTAGAAAGCAAGGTTTCTAGAGAGGACGCCAGGTAGCCGGCCGCTTTCAGATTTATGCAACACAGTAGGTAAAACTAGACCACATTTGTACGGTTCGCAAGCCAAGATTGGCATAATGTCTCCAGTTTCTAGGTATACCGACGTCCCGAGTTATTTATTGCCCTGACCTTTTAGCCCGGTAGTTTCACCACACCGTACACCGTCCTCTGCCCCCCTCCTCCTCACCCCCCCATAAAAGTTATCTTGCTGGCTGCGTTCGCGTTGGCTCCGCAGCTTGGCAGAGCCTCTGCTCATCCACTTTTATTCCCATGATATCTCGTGGTCGCTCGTTTCCGCTCGATGTTGCGTTGAACTAGTTCCCCCGTTTTCACTTTCGGAGGATCCAGCGTCTTTCGACGGTTTCCAGCCACCTTGGACCGTCCTGGACTGGTCGCTCGAACGGGCCACCTGCTCGCTGATCCACAGCACCGGGGGAAAAAGGTTTACCGAAATTTCCTCGAGTCGTGACTGCGAAGAATCGCAGGGGTAATTCCGGTGTAACGAGTTGGAAATTTATGACGGCAATAACGAACCGATAATGGCCGTTCCCCCGTTAACTCCGAGGTATCTGTCCCTGGGTTAGGTAAGAGCACAGGTTTCACCATCCCCCGTTGCCTTTGCTCTTATTTCCTTTCACTCGTGGGTCGTCGTTCTTCAAATCCGAAGCGAGCTTGCAAGGTCGGCTTACGATCGTTTCCTGGATCACCGTTTACCTTGCCACCCTTGCTCTCTCAGTTGTTCAACGAAGTTCGCGAAGACGAGTCGTCTCTTCCAGCCGCGACAAGTTGTTAATTTTCTCGTTAATCTTCGCGAAATAGTGCTCTCGGACATCTCCTCGAACCCTCCCGTAAGTCTTTTTTAATATTCTCTTGCAATCTTGAGTTTATATCGTAGTTAAGTTAACAAATTTAATTAGCAACGATATTTACTTCTCGTATGTTTATATTTAGCCCATAGATATAAAACGGGTATAAAAAAATATGTATTGATTTAACAAGTATAGGTGTAAAGTAGGTTAATTAAATATCTGAGGCTCGTAAAATTTTGGTGATCGATCTCGAAGCTTCAAAGTACGATTTTGCAAGAAAAAAGATTCGTTAAAGGTATTTTCCTATCGAGTATTGTTTAAACTACGAGCCAGATCGCGACCATCTCTCGGTTAGGTTCGGAAGCTGGTACCAAAGCTCTCCGATTCGCCGATAAAAGGTCCAGTTCAGGATGACGATACTGGTCCGTGGAGTGCTGCCAGTCAAAGGAAGAAAGAGGCTCGAGTGCCTGAATCTGCTCACAGATGTCGGCACGTTTAAGTCTTTTCTCGCATCATCAAACAGCATATATTTCTCGCGCTTCTGGCATACGTATCGATCCCTCGCTGTCTGCTTCGTGCTTTTCCCTGCGAGAATGTTAAACAGGAAAAACGATTTCCTTCAATTTTCCCACCCCTAATAACTCTCGAACTCTATAGGGAATCTTCGATCGTTCTAGGGCTACTCAGACATTTTTGTCCTGACCCCGCCGCCATTTTAATATCAGTTCTGGTCTACAGCATCGCCTCTGCTAAATATTTTTTATCCCCGTTTGATTTTCTTTTATGTTATTTTTATTCTATTTCGTACATTCCTATCATCCTCGTTCCAGGTTTCGATGTTAGTTTGATTGTTCATCGATGTAGAACCACTCAACCATCGCTAGTTTATTGTTATATTACTAGTGTACAGCTCTATTTTGAAGTTAGGAACTACCAGATGCTCGATAATTGATCGTACTAAATTTCTCAGTAATTAATTACAATTTATAAGTTGTATATTTATATTTCGACATTCATTTTGAGATCAAACGCCTATGAACATAAAGATGGACGATAAATAGCTGTTAATCTTATCCACCTTGTTCGAAATTTGTACCCAGATAAAAACGTTCGTTCGGAAGGGGTCGATCAGGTGAAATTTATTGCACGCCGTTTCCGTGCGTGCAGTATAATACCCAGTGGAAGCCTATTCGATCGCGTTCCACGTCGGAATAATTCGATTCTCCGCGAACATCCATCGGACCTGGTCTTCGATAATCACCCGATTCTCGATTTTCTTTGGTCCGTTCGCCGGCGTTCTCCTCCAGTTTCCCGCGCTAGCCTCTTTTAACAGTGTCTATTAGTTCCCACTCGATCCTATTACCCTTACCGGGCAACCAATCATGATAAACTTCATATCAATTTATCTGCCTATCCATTCCAGGCCGCGGCTGCCCGTTTCTTTCTACGTTGCAAAACACCCAGCTGAGCTAAGCGCGCTATAAGCAGGACTTCATGAATAATGCATGGCTCAATTTTATAGATGCAGGTGCTCTCCGGGGCATTTGCTCGGTGAAACCGGCGAGATTCCCTGCCACCTTTTGCGGGACATTGGCGTTACATAGGTTAGGAAATTCCGGCGTAGTTGGCTTGGCCCGCGAAACGCCGCGCGTCGGTTCTCTCGTTTTAACGGCGAACGTCACGAGACGCGGTTTCTAATGTCGAGGCCTCTTCTGACGTCTCCTCGATCCGCCATTAACCGACGATCCTCGTTACGCGATCGCGTGCAATATCGGATGCGAATGTTCCCGATATGGCCTAGCAAAATTCGAGTCAAAATATATATTTTTTTTTCCAATTTAATTCGAATCGAACGCACAATCGTCCCGGTTCCGTGCAGAATGGGTTGTCCGGAAGGGAATTTAAACGGTAGTTTGAAATTTGGTGAAAGATTTCGCGAACGAGGCAACAGGGACGAGGTATTCGTCTCTGCCTTGTATTCAGCCAGCCAGAATGCTGCGACAGAGGAGTAATGTGGTCGAATTTACGGGAACAGTAGGAATAACGAAGGACACGAATTTTGGATAGTCGAGAAGAAGGATGGTGGCCGTAAACCGCATCGCAATAATCAAACAAGGAAACCGCCCAGGATCGAGAAAGTATGAGCTTCGAGTGAGTTGACAAAACACGAGGAAAAGGAAATAAACGTGGCGGTTAAAACAACAAGTTGGATCAAACGGTACAGGAACATTTTTTAAAACGGGTTACGCGGTATAGAAATACGAATAAAACTGTCCTGGTGAAGGGGAAATAAAATTAATTAAATCATCTTGAACCGAGTCGAAGTGGAATCATGAAATACCTCTTTTTTGGCTAGTAAAAATTGGGTTAGGTTGTAAAGCAGCCTTATTTGGCGTTCAGAGTACCAAGGATAAATTATGCTTTCACGCTGGTTGAAGCGGTGCAGTTCTCGTAACGTATACTTTGCTCCTTTCTGTTGCTTTTATTTCGTTTATATTCGGTGAATAAAGTCATTAAATAAATTAAATGAAAATAATAACCACACGTGAGCGGTAATAATCGTGTACGCGAGACTGTTACGTCACACGAGATACACACGAAGTACCAGTGCAGAACTGTAAATCTTGCGAGGAAATCTTAATATACGCGGATTAATGATTAACCGATCAAAACTGGGGGCCTCGAAGGCAGATCGTGTTTACTGTTGGAGACTTTCGCAACGCTATTCGTATTACTCATTTATCCCTCGTTAGTCGCTCGAACTAAATAGAATCAATTTCATGCCTACTGACAATTTCGGATATGAATCAGACGACCGCGGTAAATAATTCTGCCAACGCGTTTCAATTTTATTTAAATAATAGAACTATCGAAATATCAAAATATCCGAACAGTTCACTGTTCCAGCCGCTGAAACTCTGTTCCAAGCTCGAGAAAACGGCCACCCAGCGGCTTGAAACGACGGGGGAAGTTAATGGCGGTAATTGTACGTCCCCTTCGCAAGCATTTTAATAGTATGAATGCCTCAAAGGCTACCGATTGCTCTTGAACGGCGACCAACGACCAGTTCGTCCGAACTTGGCGAACGGAAAGTGCGCTGTAATCGGTCGGAACGCGACACCGTGAATTGTTGCGATTTTATCAGTCGGATTTCCAAACGGAAAGAAACCGGAGAGACAATGTGAACGCGTGGTCTTGCATCGAGGCAACGAAAGACAGGAAAAAGGTGCGTATCAACGCGGAGGGAACCATATTTCGTAGGTGAAAAAACGAGGATATATTCCAGCATCGCGGGCATTGTTTTAGTTTTTTTTACATCGTCGGTGCGGTTATTTATCAGACAGACCGCGTACAACCGCGGAGATTAGCATTCTTTTTACTTGATCAGCCGAGCGGATAAGGCTCGTATGAATCTCGGAGAAACGTCCTGGGCATCAGCTCTTCCGGACCGTGATCAAGCC